CCCAGAACAGCAACGAGTCACCCCCCCTGAGGTCTAGCAGCAGCAACAGCTGCCGTAGCTGCAGCGGCTGCAGCCTCAGTAACCGCGGCGTACCGCTCATCGAATGTCTCAATCAACGTGGTCTTAATAGACCCAAACATCTCCGGTATCTCTGCTCGGATAGCCGCAGCTACCTCATCGTGGATCATCTGACGAAGCTCCTCGTCACTCACGCCGCTGGTCTCTGGTCTGTGGCGTGTCCCAACCATGATGTCTCTGAAATATGACACACAAAATATCAGAGACTCGCTCGAGTATACTTGCACTCAATAACTCAACCCTACTTGTTCCCTAGTACCCTAAGGATTCTTACTTGGACTGCACACTGATCCGGTGTTTTCAGTAGTACGGGCCCTATACTACCTTCCACACCGCATCAGCATTCATTCCAAGTCCTCCTCCTAGGATCCCAGATCACAAGTACTCTACATCTCGCTAAGCATAGGCTACCCTTCGGTAGACTCCTCATAAACTCCTCACTGCTACCTACTTACTCTCGAAGCATCTCATAGCAGCAGTAATCTCCTAGGCTAAGGCATCACAAATCAGGTCACTCTAGTCCTAATAGGAATACCTAGCCTACTCTAGCATGCATAACATATCATATCATATCTCATAACACATAATGTAAGGGTATTTTGGGAAATCACCGTTCGGGCGCTGGCTGATCGTACACACTGCTCCGTTCTGCTTTTCTCAAAAATATTTTGCTCTTTTTTAGAAAAATTGTTTCTTTTATGAAAAAGTTTCTCAAATCCTCAGTTTGAGTTCGGATACGCCCGAAGGTGCATCCGAATCCCTCAAACCAAAGCTTTGATACCAAATTGTAACAACGTAATTTTCAAAACAATTTTTCATTTTTTAAAACATAATTCCATTCATAAGATATCATAAAAATCCATTGTATCACATGACATCATAAAACAAATGCCAAGATCTCTAATACATAAATCCTATCGGTGTGTACAGATCATGCCGGCGCCTTCCCGCGATCCTCACTGGTACCTGAAACACATCACACAAACACTGTAAGCATAAATGCTTAGTGAGTTCCCCAAAATATCACATACGCACATACGCCACTCAAGTCTATAGCTCTACAAGACCCTCCGGTCAATGTGTCTCAGGGGACTTCCGTCCCACAATCCCAGTAAACCTTCCGGCCCTACCCGTAGCGACCTTCCAGTCCATATCATCTTGACCTTCCGGTCCATATCATAATGACCTTCCGGTCCACATCATAACGACCTTCCGGTCCATAGCTTACTACGCATACATAACATAGCACATACATATCCAATAACAGCATACAACACATATTACCACTACAGGTAAAGTATAGTGAGACGACCCACCTCGTATGATGTCTAGTAACTCACGTGCTCGATATCCCTGAATCTCGAAACAACGACCTAGCCCCGCCTAATCACATAAAGTAATTATTTCAAATCATTAACGACTCTCAAGGCTAGACTAATCCCTTCCTATGTCCTCTCAGAAGGCTAAAAGACCATTTTACCCCTCAATGGTCCCAAAAGTCCAATTCTTTGACCAAACCCTAAAAGTCAACGAAAGTCAACTGAAGGGTGGTACGCGGCGCGTACCAGATCTGTATGCGGGGCGTACTCCGCGATCATCCAGAGTCGGGGAACTCGACCCCCTACGCGGCGCGTACTGGGATTACGCCCAGCGTAAGTCCCAGATTCATCCTTTCTTCATTTTTGGTCTGAATAGGTTAAGTCGTGGGCTCATATCACAGATCTAGGCTCTCTACTGCCTCTTAAGTCATAAACTCGAAACCTTTAAGCCTTGCATGGCTATAAAGGTCACCAACCACTTCAAACACATAACATCTTTCCCCATTAAGCCCTAATCTCATGCATGTCTTAATCTTAACGTCCAAGATTGGATTTTTATGAACCCACAACGCATACTACACTGAAATAAGGCAGATCTAAGCTTATGGAGGCCATTTGCTCATAAAGTCTCCATCTTGGGACCAAAAACCCTAAAAGTTGGTCCATCAAGCACAAAACAAAAATGATAAGGAAAGATTCGAGCTTTTTACCTCCAAGTGAAACTCCACTCTCTGTAGAACTCAGATCCAAGCTTGTACTCCAACTTCTAGCCTCCACAAGAACTTCCTCTTCTTCTTCACTACCACACCAAGACACTTTCTAGCTCAAAAACACACACACAAGCCTAGAACGATGGTATTGCTCTCTTAGGGTTTCTTTCTCTATGAAATGGTGGCTGAGGATAAGACCATATCATTCCTTTTACAGTCCTCAATTCTCATTAGGGTTTTGCATCTGGGCCGGTTACGCCCGACGTAACCTTGGTACGCCCAGCGTACCTAATCGAGTCCGCGTCCAACTTAAGCGCATGAGTACGCGCAGCGTACTCTTCAGTACGCCCAGCATACTCATTTTCCATAACTTTCTTTTAAGGGCTAAACTTGACAACTTGGAAAAGAAGAAGGGTTTAAGAGATGCACCTGAATTTCGGGATGTTACAGTTACGCCATCATGGTGCAAGATGGGTCATTTTGGTTCCTTAATGATCCATGGTATCCCTGATGAGCCAAGTATGCTATGAAGTCCTCTATGATGCTCAATATCATTTAAGGATGCTCAGAAGTTGGTATTGCTCAAGGATTACACCATGTTGCCACCATGATGGATGTTGGGTCATTAGTGTTAATGATGCACCACTTGTACATCATGATGCTCCACTATGGCACAAGGTGCTCCATCATGTGTGTTGTTGATGTTCATGGGTTGTATGACATGGAAGAATGTTCCGAAAGATTTTTCATGGCAGATTGTGATTGGTTGACACCTTTCATGGGCCAATGGGCTTGGGCCAATGGGCTTGGCCCATTAGGGTTTGAGGTCTGATCGCTCATGTATAAATAGGGATGCATACATAGTCATTTGAAGTGTCTTGTGTCTTGTATCTTGTATCCTTAGTGAGTAGGACGAATCTCTAGTGAACTATACTTGTAACCTATATTTGAGAACTCTGAAATAAAGAATACTCCCCTCCTGCCTGTAGACGTAGGTCACCTTGACCGAACCACGTAAATACCGTGTCTTTGTGTGCTTATAGTTTTGCTTGTTATCCGCATTACTTCCTAATAAGGGTCATCAGAACTTGGCAAGTGGCGTCAGATTTGTTCTGAACCTTGACAAGTATCACCTGTTTTCCCTAATAGATATAGACAATGCCAGATTTTTACATCAATATAGAACTTACTGGTAGCCCCGCTAACTAGCATATCTAGTCAATGGCCCTTCCATTAATAGGGAATAAATATTGTCGGACGTTTCCCAGAAGCCCCAGGGAAAGTCAAATTCCTGATTGTGGCAATTGACTACTTTACAAAGTGGAAAGAAGCAGAACCAGTGGCCGCAATAAATGGACAAAGCATGATCAAATTTATGTGGAAGAATATTATCACACGATTTGGCACCCCGAGAACACATGTTAGCGACAAACGGCATGTAGTTCGCCGAAAACCTTTTCAGACAATGGTGCAAAGAACATAACATACAACAACGATTCACATCTGTGGCTGACCCCCAGGCCGGTGGACATACAAAAGTATCCAACAGGACCATTGTAGTCGGGATCAAGTAGCGTTTCGGCAAGAAGAAATGTAATTGGGTAGACGAAGTCCCCACGGTGTTATGGTCATATATGGCATGAAAGCAGTCCTACCACAATAATTACTTATAGAAACCCTCATGTACTATCTTTCAATACCGACATGAACGTTGAGGACCTTCGAATCAATCTCGATCTAATAGAAGAAAAACGCTACATGGCAGCACTCCGCCAATCAGCATACAAAGCAAATGTTGAAAAATACTACAACAAAAGGTTAAAAGTGCGAGCATACGAAATAGGCGACCTAGTGTTGAGGAAAAATGAAGCCAACCACGGCGAACCAAGAGGCAAGCTAGGGCCAACCTGGGAAGGCCCATACAAAGTTGTGGAAGAACACAGGAAAGGTTTGTACGTCCTGGAAATAACGGAAGGAATGCCCATTCCAAGGACTTGGAATGTCCAAAACTTGAGACGTTTTCACTGTTGAAAAACATGCAGCAAGAATAAGGGCACAGGAAGCATCAATGCAAGAAAAATCCCATTCCATCCCCCTCTTTGTTTCTTTTTCTACGTTTTCTTTTATTTATCATGATGTCTTCCATTTAAAAGTATGTAAATAAGGAAGGGTTGATCACCCTCTCCTCCCGATATGCAATCATTAATGAATTTCCTAATATTAAAGTGCAAACTAATAAATTCACATATGACAAATAAAAGGAAGACGGTTCCAAAGCCCCTGGCTTTGACCTGCCTCAGGTCTGGAGGCCAAATGCCTCGATCGAATCTCTATAACGGCAAATGGTTCCAAATCCCCTGGTTTGACCTGCCTCAGGTCTGGAGGACAAATGCATCGACCGACTCTTTATAACGGCAGACAGTTCAAATCCCTTGGCTTTGACCTGCCTCAGGTCTGGAGGCCAAATGCCTCGACCTACTCCCTATAATGGAAAACGGTCCCGAAGCCCTCGGCCTTGACATGCCATAAGTTCGAAGGCCAAATGCCTCGACTTGATGTCCCGAGCTGACAAACGGTCTCAAAAACACAATTCAGACTCATTATGGGACAGAAAAAGAAAATCATCGACCAAACTAACATAAGGGTCCCCAAGGGTCTGCTAAGACTTAGTATCTTATGCAATCAACAACTCGTTCTCTCAACTAATCAAACAAAGATCCAACTAGAACAGACAACAAAACAGAAACGAATAAGGAATCATGCAACCCCAAAGTAAAACACATAAACCAAGCAACAATTTGGAAATAACAACCAAAAGGTGTGTCAAAATGGCCAAACCAGCCTACAACCGAACATCATAACCAAAAGCAAAAGCATAACAAGGATAAGAAAATCAAGAGGGACGGGTGTCACCACGGGCTTGCACCATATGCTTCAATTTCTCCACACCCAACCCTTCCAAACCAAGTACATATATATAATCCAGTGACGCAAAGCCATCTAATGCCTCATCAACCATTGTCCCATGATCGATGCCATCCTTCGGCGCTTCTTCCAACTTACCAACACCATCAACCAATTCCCTCGCGTCTTGCACCCCCAAAGCTTTACTAGCAGCTATACAGGCATCACGAAACTTGTTCTCACCATAACCAAATTCAGGACTTTCCTAGACATGATCAACCAACCCAACTAACTCCTCTTTCATTACCCACTATATATCACGTTCCAAACCCCCCAACAACACAGACTTTTCTTCCAAAACTCGATATTTTCCACCAAATCCCTATCAAGGTTCTCTATTCCGATGCTTATACCTTCATTTTCCTATTTCAACTGGCAAATTGCAGCACCCAAAGCAAGCTCGTCACGTTCATGACCCATCAATATCTCCTCTAACACCTTCTTCTCTACAACAATGACACTAAGCTGAAATGCATCCCCCTAAAACTCATCAACTTTCTTTTGAAACATTGCCTTCTCAGAATGAAGCACTTGCATTTCCTTCATCATTCGGGCAAGATCACCATAAACAACTAAGAACTAGTCAAGGCAGTAAGCACCTTCAGCAAAAAAAACTAGCACTTTGAGCTTAAGCAAAACGAAATGAGCCAACAAGACCAGAGAGGGAGTAATTAGCCATTTCGGATTGAGTGCTAGGCGGAAACGCATTCTTGGCAAAATCAACTGCAGATTCAAACATGGAAAGATGAGAATCATCCTTTAGAGACCAAGAAGGAGAAAACGTCACATCACCCGGAACCCCCCACCTCACCAGAACCAATAGCTGAAGACTCAACATGCCCAAAGCGCAAAAGATAAAATCCTTCTTTCACACTACCATGTTCACCCCCGACCTCCACACGCTCTGAAGATTCCAACAGAACATCCGACTCAGACCTCACAACATTCTCTATAGAAACAACTTTCTCCATATTTCCATCGTCAGGAATATCAATTAACTCATTCTAAGATCTGGTAACACGAGAGCACCCTCCAGGTAATTTTTGCGGGCGCAAACGCGGCACAAGGGACAGACCGTCAACACCCTAACCACTCACACTTTTCCAAGCAGCTTTATGCTTGTTCACCAAAGGAATGACCCCTTATTTGATATCTTCTACAACCTCTTCCTCCACATATTTGTTCCTCGAAGATCCAAAACCAATGACAGCACTGACAGGATCAATTGAAGCAGAGCGAGAAGGCTCAACAGCGGCAGGACGCTGCTCAAAATCTTGAATTGCGGACGCTCGGGAAATGAAAACCTCATTATGGAAGGGTAACGAAGGTAACATTTTGTCAATAAGATCCACCTATCGATACTGGAGACTCCCAACCTATTTCTTAGCCAATGTATCAATGAAATCAACCTTCTTATCAACACTTGTATGCAAACAATAGATTTATACATATATATATATATATATATATATATATATATATATATATATATATATATATATATATATATATATATATATATATATATATATATATATATATATATATAAGGAGGATAGAGAGAGAGAGAGAAGAAGAAGAAGAAGAAGAAGAAGAGAATGGAAGATGAAAAGAAGAATCAACACAAACCTCTCGACACAACATAAAACTCTTGCATCATTCCGCAAAGCCTCCATGATGTACTCATACCAGCCCCAACGAGTACATACTCCGGGAATTCATCCGCCACAACATGAAAACAACGAAGAACCCTAGCCATCTGCTCCTTGTTTGAATAAAGGGTAAAGGAATCATCGTAGATAGAAGTCGAACGCCACTCCATGAATCCTACGCAATCAACATTAACCCATAAGTAACAATTTTCCTAGTTCTTCGGCGAGTTCTTTTGCTCAGTCACTAGAACATGACTATGCTTATGAAAAGCAAAAGTATAACTTTCACCAGAGGAAGCAGCCGTGAAATGGAAAAACTAGCGAAAGACCCAAATGTCAGGCTTAATCTCGTTAGCACGACAAAGCATCTTAAAAGCAACCACTTTGTTTATACCATTGGGAACCAACTGCTTTATGTGAACCTTGTGTGTATGAAGAACTTCTAGAAATAATCGGACGTCGGAAGATGATACCCGGTGTCAAAGTGCTTCACATATATCCTGACTTTACCCTTAAAAGGGTTGATGAAGCTAGCGTGCTCACCGGGAAATGTCACACCATCCTCCGGCTGAGAGTCATATCACTTTTGAAGTGCAACAAACTGATCAAGGGTTGGGGCGACACTAATTAGAGAATCCATTGAAGAGAAAAGGATAGACGCAGAGAAAGACAAGACAAAGAGCAATGACAAGGAAAATTGAAGGGCTAGAAGTTATAAAGGCAAAAGTGGGCGGGAAATTTGAATACCCTAATGATGGAAACTGACGTCACGGCTGGAAACCGCAACAACATGCAGCCAAAAAGACAGCAACCAAATGCAATGGGACACGACATTAATGGCTAGTCTGATCCGTTGCAACTCGGATTGCCTACGACACAACAGATAAGACTATGGAGACCTGATAGCATGCCTCCTGGACGCGCCAGAAGGCACTAAAGGCGTTTTTCACATGGTCCGGCCAGCCCACCATTCCTCCCATCTAGCACCCATTCCGGCCTGGAACAGATTGTCTTTCAGTACTTGGGATCCAGCCCGGAACCAGCACGGGAAAGTCAATAGATGACAAACAAACACCTTGTAACTCTAGCACTTATTGGGTTTTGAGCATTCTAACACTCCTATGGTGTACATGCAACCCTAGAAACCTTGGATCTATGTTTTACTATGATACATGCAAAATTGATTTTCCAAGTTTCTTATCCTATCTACTATAGCATGGGAAACTATTAAACATAAATGCTAGAAGAAGAACATACCTTTTGTGGTTTGGATTCCTTGAGAACCTTGTGAGCCTAGCACCTCAAGTGTGATGCCTCAAATGTCTCACACAACACCACAACACTTGGAATGACCTTGAGAGAAGTTCACTTACACCTCAAAATCGGTTAGCCCTCTTTCTTGTACAAGTAGTAGTCATAGTGCCGATTTTGCTTGCATAGGGTTCTTTATATAGTTGTGGCACAAGTAGGGTTACACCGTGTAAACCCTAATTTTCATGGCTTTCCATATTCCATGATCCATGGGTTTGTAACCTCCATGGATTATCCATGGAGCACCTTATGGGTTTTAACCCAATCCATACAAACCATGGATCATTAGCCCACTATACAAGAATAGATGATTTACACAATCAACCCCATATATTTAATTAGTCTCCTTTCGATCACTTAATAAATTCCAAATTAATTCTTTGATCAATACTAATTAAATAATATTATTAATATATTAGAACTTATAATATATTAATAATCCTTAAGTGTCCTTTCTCTCATTTAGTCTATCCAAGTGTTGCAATGCCATGCAACCCAAATGGACCATGCCAACCGGGTCAAGTACATTCTAGGAATAGTTATGAACTTAGACACCTACTCCAACAGTCTCCCACTTGGATAAGTCTAATAATTAAAACTGCAAGAACGACTTCAGGAACCGATCAACAATCGTAGCTCTTTCAAGGTATCGCGGAACTGAGATGATGATGATACGCCATTTAAGATAAGTGATCATATAATCCTCTGTTCTAGATATCAGCCGGACAAATACATGGAACAATGTCTTACTTATTGTCCAGCAGTTTGTTTCCCGATTTCCGATTTGTTTGACATAGAACTTAATTGAACACATCAACTTAGTTCTGACCGGGCTCGGTACATGGGTCAACACAAAATCAACGAGGGGCCCAGATATCGCTTCTAATCCAAGAAGGAACGGATAAACTTCGACTCATATGCTTGTTCTACTACTTGTTGAATCATACACAAAGGAACGTTTTATAACATTGAGTTACCAATGTGTTTTCGTACAATCAATGTATAACCAACTCATAGGCAACAAGTCATATCTCTAGGTTTGAAGACTTATATGATATAACCGGCTCGCGATCACTCGATATAAATTCCATGAAGTGATACCAGCGAGCGTGGGTTGAATCCAATACTCAGAACTTATGAGCACTTATGAATGTTGTAGCAACTATTGATATGTCCCATACCTTCGACATCTATAATCCAGCTTCATGACAGTCTTGATTCATATCTACTTCCAACATATGACCGACTGTGGATGGTTTGAATAACTTAGTTATTCAGGAAGAATGACCTAGTTATTCTGGAAGTCAAAACATGCAAAGTGAAACACAAGAATAATCGAATCAAATATGGTCTCAGAACTTATGAATATAAATAAAACATCTTTTATTTATCACCATATTGATTACACATTATTCATTTCATATTGTTTCAAACTATCAACTTTATACTTGAATTAAAACAATAGTTGTCCCATGCTCCAAGCATGTACACTATGGTTTTCTAAACACTAGTCATTCCATACACCAAGTATGCACACTATGTTTTTCCAAACATTAGTTATGCCATACACCAAGTATGCACACTAAGTTTGTCTATGATCTTTACTTTGTGGAATAGATTGATTGAACATAATTCCAATGATTCTCATTTCACAATCCCAAATCCTTACTCCAAATGCAAGAATTCTAAATTCCTGCCATTTACCTAAATCTGTTAGATTCTAAACTTATATGCACTAATTCTCTGTAATGATTATGCACAAAGTCACAAAGATTTGTCAACAGACATTATAGAGTATTCCAATGGAGATCAACTCCATGGAAACGAAGTCTCAAATTCAAAGTACATTGCTTTGAACATCCTTCTTGCATTAAGTTTCCTAATCTTACACAGATTTAATGAATAACTTCCACCTATGGGAATATTTCCATATTCTCATTTTTACTATCACTTCTGAACAAGAGCTGCCTCTTTTCAGAATATGTCAATATGGTCCTTCCAAAATTAACACTATACTTCTAATTTTCCCTGAGCAACCAATCTTTGGTAAACCTTAGATTGTCGTTGACAATTGCTTAATCAAATTAGTCATATCTAGTTCTAGTACTTTTTCCCTCTTAATGCTCTAGGCATTTGGAAAAATTTAGAACAGATGAATATTATAAGACATGCAATCGATCCTATATCTTAAGCATATGGGACACGATTCATGATGTCTCACATAAAGACATGATACTAGACCAGTCTTTTTGCTATAATATTTCTATTTCTATTTGCCAAGTTCTCATAATTCAGATAATGAAAAGGGATGCCGTAATCATAATCGAATTTTAGAATGCAAATAATGGACCCATATATAGACTTTCCTTATGTTGAGCCATTCCAACATAAAATTCCTATATATATATATCCTTGACTAAAGATGATTAAAACCTCAATCTAAGCTTTTAGAATTGAAATGAAGTATAATTTCCTCTCCCTTAATTATAGCAAAACAACTTTTTCCCAATTGAAACCTTTTGTTTTCTATAATTAACATTGCTAACTTGCAACACTTATTATAATTATCATGCTCCCGCTTGCATGATGATTATTAGCATAACACTTTTGCTCCCACTAGCTTTGACATGTACTCAGAAAACAGCTGGACTTCTAGAAATCAATACTTTATTGACCTTCTTACCAAAGTTCATATTTCTGATACGAGATGCTTTGCTAAAACTTTATCAAAATCATACACCTTTCCTTAGATAGCACACATGTGTGTCTAAACAATTTCAAAACTATGAAAAGGGATGCCGTAATCATAATCTCAGTTGTTTAGACCTTTGCAATTTCTCACAAATCCATGTTAGTGTGTCGGTTAACCACACACGCTCCACTAACGACTTTGAGAATGCAAATATCACAATTGCTATCTACTTAAAATCTACTTAGTGAAAGTGTTTCCTCACCATCATTTTCATGAATCGGAGAGAAACCTTATGACACTTAGATTTTATGGTGTATGTGTTCCTATCCATGTGAATTTGTCAAAACCATAATCACCAGACAAGGTTAGTGACAAATCCAAACTCATATGGATTGAACTTGTGCAATCTCAACTTCTTGCCTCCTGGAAACTCAAGGGCCTGCCACTGCTTCCAAGTTGTTATGCAACCAATTGAGAACTCTCAGAACTCATATGCAAAGCCAACTTTAACTGGAATGGGCATAGATCTAGGAATATGTCAACACGATAGGTTTTAAACCTCACGTCGTGTGCTAGTGATAACTACAGGTTTTTTATTCTTGAATAGATCTTTGAAGCTTTTCCAAGATCTTTAAGACTCCCACTGTCCTCTTGACATATAAGACTCACTTGCCAAATATTCAAGAGATAGTGTGGATTCTTTATCAAGACAAACACTTCACACAATTGGCCTTAGTTGGTCTTTGTTTTATCCAAAACATCACAACTTACCAACTTCAAATGTACAAGAGTAGGACTCATTTTACTCTTACATTTGACAAGTGTTATAAACCTTTCTTTAAGATATGTCACACAAGTTACAATCTTGGAGTATGACTCTAAGAATTGTTCTGGAACGAAGTATGACTCATCTTCTTGATGTAACCATTTCAACAATTCACGATTCCTCTTCTTAGCCATAGGAATGCACTAAGATGTCCTTAGAGGACTAATTGTGATATGATTTCTAAAATATTAAGATGATCACAAATATGATACTAAAGTACTCTCCCATCTTGTCAAATTTGAGAAACTTTTATCTTTCTGCCTAATTTGATTCTTCTCATTCGTCCTGCCATACATCGAAACTTTTCCAATGTTTCAGAATTATACTTAAACTGGTAAGTA